AGGTTAGTTATGCAAGAAACAGTTAAACAGTAAAGACCTTTTCTTTGACCTTTCCTGAACGAAAGTGCTTTCATAGACATAGTTTCATTTGCAGACTTTTTATCCTTTAACTACTCAAAGATTTTGAAGAAGGCAGAATATCTTGCTTGCTGTGCAGCAAAGCTTAAAACTGATCATTTCTTTAGATATCAAAGAACAATGTCGTTTCATCGAAAGGGGAGAACTGGCCAAGGAGTCTCGCTATTTGGCTCGCGTTCTGCGATCGATCGTCACCACTCGTAAGAACATCAACGAAAACGTGCTGACCAAACTGATCACTTTCTACTTTGCTGGTTCTGCTATGGCCAAACAGAGAGAAGAACTTTTGTCGTATGTCAGGAGTCCGTCCGCTGCACTGGTATGGTGTTGTGTTTTATGAACAGTCGTGTAAAGGATTTACGTATTTGACTATACCAGACAACGTTTTTTTAGCAGGCAGTTTTCTGGTACCCCTCTTTATGACTTTGATAAAGATGTAAATATTGACTGCGTTTCATTTTTTTCCTCTTGGTCGCAGGCAAAAGATTTGAGGATCATGAATGCGCAGCCGGAGTAGATTATCCATTCTACTACATGGTTGGGAAGTGGCGATGATACTTTACATTGGCAATCTATTACTATCATTAAAGAAACCAGGGCATTTATTGCTGGAGGCATCAAGATGGAGAACAGGGTTATATAACATGCTCCATAAGGAGGGTACGGCCAGCAGCAGCATAGAAAGGATATAAGCATCTGACTGGTTAAACCCATTTCTTGCCTTTCATAACCTGGATCCAACTGTCTGTAGAATTTATTTCTTTTATGTGGTATTGTATTTTTGAATTTATGCTTATTTATTATGCTTATCGTATTTGCATCGAATTCGTATATTTTTAGAAAACCGACAGTGACAAGATGGACACATCACCGGTAGCATCCAGACCGCGGTCGCCAAGGCAACCAAGAAAATTTCTACAATCTGTGATGCAGCAAACGCTGCCTGAGATCGAAGCATACATAACGTTGCTGGTGGTGATTTTTCTGATGGATCGAAAGCGATTAACAGAGGTATGCAATAACTTCTTTTATATAGGGGCAGCTGATGTGCGATTCCTTTATCCCTCTCTCCCTAAATTTTCTTTTTCATAGGAAAAACTTATTTTGATGGGGTGATAAATGTAGGAAAGCGGCAACCTATCTAAAATTGCAAATGTATGATTTCTCGATTTTGCCAGCTTAAGTGAATACGTGTTTAAATGGCCTGTCGGAAACCATTCGAAAGCGAGTATGAAAATATCTCGTATCATTGTAGTAATTTTAATAATTTCTTGATCCGTGGTTGGAGGTATCAGACAATCTGATAGTATAACATTTCTTACGAATGCATTATGGGCCACTTCTGTAGCATCGGATACAGTAGATGGACTGGCAGAACGCTTTGATGACAGATTTGTTACAGTTCCAGCCTAAAACCCACATACGATAATGTCAAAACAAACGTTACTCTTCGTTTAGACGGGTGAGAACGCAAATTCATAAGATTTGACAACATGTCTTGTGTTTTTCTGCGGGTTTCTCATATCTAGACCATTGGTTATTGACCAATTGAGGCGAGAGATTCTCTTTTTCCTTTCATTTTATGAAATCGTCCATGAAACATTGTTTAAACTTTGCATTAAATGGACATATTAGATTTTCTTTCGGAAATGGAGTAGACGGTACCTCACAGTTTTTTCCCTTCAGCGTTGTAATCTGAACGACTTTCTTTTAAATGGAACTATCTTAAGGAGAATAAGAAAGTATGTCAGTCTGAATTACGAGAGTTACGAGCTGACCGCTTCAATATTCATGACATACGTTCACTGCTACTTTAGCCACCCTGGAGTGTACTTCAGGGAACTACAGTAACAGACTGAGTCAAGAGGCGTCTTTACTGACAGGTGACATTGACCGACCAATTGAACCGCCGAATTTGCTTAAGATCAGAATTAGTCTTAGGCAGTAAAGCAATGTGATATATAACGTTATTCTATTTAAAGTGATCGACCTTGATTTGCTTAAACGTTGGTGTTTTAATGAAACAATCCGCTTCCTGGCTCAAGCTGTTGAAATACATCGATTCCCGTGATTATCTCTGAACTCTGGATCATCCTGAACTTAACTTTGTGCATGCTCTCCAATCCTTCGATTTACACATTGTGTTGTCCAAGTCTCTGATTCATATTATAATTAATAACATTGCTCCAGGGAGGGCAGTCACACCTGCTTCTGTAATCATGAAGGTAATCTTCTCACATGCGTAGAATATATATAACTATATTGATGTATAAACATATACAGATATAAATGTTAAAGATAAAATTCTGTCTGTAGACGCAAAGAAACCGATTTGTTCCTGCATAGCGTATATGGTCAAGCGGTGAACTCGTCCAGAACCATATTTCTCGGCGTAATGTAGATTTTCTTACTTTTAGCGCCGATGGGGGGATGTCAAGTGAACTTGGATTGGGACTAGAAACGGCGATTTTGGAGCATCTGTAGTTTTAGGTGCTTCTCGTGCCGTTTTATTCACTGGGGCAACTTCATGCTAATCGCAAACGACATTTCTTGCGTCGACTCCGTATTTTTTACTCAATAAGCATCAAAAATATTTCTGTACGCGGGAGTGTGTTAACAGGTGCTTCACTTCTACAGATACCGCATTCCTTTCATGTTTGCAGTCAGGAGCTCAGTATTCCCGTGTTTTTCCAATCAGCTAAAATTTGAAGCGCAGCACTACTGGGTGTGCTAGACTCTTTTGACGTTTGGCTTTAGATTTGAAAAGAGGGTCTGTATTGCGTTTAATATTGGATATGTGCTTACGTTCTTAATCATTTGCAGTCGTAGTTTCTCGATTTAGAATAGGTCATCCATTTCTAACAGTATTGGAGGAACTGTGCAACCGGACAATCACTATATAGAAAGACAGCCGGGGTCATGATGACACACTAGCAAACAATTTTCTTCGAGCAACAGAGGTGCCGGGTTCGAATCCATCGAAGGGACACCTTTGTCTCAACCGCGAATTCCCTTGGGCAAGGAGTTTGCCTTACGCTGCTTGAGTAACTAGCCAAGAAACGGGTAATTAGTCATTGGCTTTTGATTAATGACGGTGCCATGGTATTTTGATGTGATCATACCAAAACAGAGGAGATATGCAGCTGCCTTGTGTGATACGAGCTCATCATGTTGCTGAACTTTTCTCTTTCTCCTTGACTTACCTGATTGCTCACTATTCACTAATAATCAGCACAGAGTGAAACCTCGATTTCGATTGCCGTATTTTTAACTTTACAATATGCTAGGTAAAAAGTTTCTGCTTATAAAGCGTAACTGCGGTGTCATTAAAATTTTAACCTTCCAGTATGCTAACGATTTAATTCTTTAGGCTGAAAAATGTGCGAATGAGCTGGTGAAGCGCGTAGAAATGCAGAATCGTCGTTCTCTAGATCCATTGTCAGCGAAGGCCCATTATTTTTATTCGCTCATCAATGAAAAGCTTGGCAACCTGCCTTTTATCGTAGAGTGCGTATACTCTTTTAACTAATTTAAGTTGCTCTTTTGATGTTTAAATAATAGGTAGTTTTCTTAATGCGGTGATAGAAGCGCGAAGGAAATTATAAATCATCTGAAAATACAAATTAATTGGTTAAAAATATCTGCTCAACGTTTCACTATTAATCGCAAAGAGAGAAGATGAAGAAGGCTGTGAAGGAAAGAGTGAACAACGAAGAAGAAAGGCAGATGCAAATAAAGGAAGAAACGCTATTTCTCTGTCCCATTGCATGGAGTTGCTTGAACATGCGGTTAGTTTGTCATGATCGTTTTTGTACGCTTTTTCATTGTCGCCTGCAACGTAGCAAAAGGCGTTTAATCGGGGTAATCCAACGACAGACTAATGACTTTCCTCGCTGTTACCTAAATGGAGATCAGTACCGCGCCATAATCTCCAGGAAAGTAGGCTGACACAGTCCCTTTGTGCAAATGCAAAATAAACGATCGTTCTAACGAAAAGTCGAACGGTGTCAAATCGACATCAAAGAAGGAGAACTGCGAAAGACTCCGTCTCTCGTATGCTTTTTGCGACGGCGCTAGAATCTTTCTTGAACCGCCTGAACTGCGGCACGGGGAAAGGCTCACTCATCTGTTGTTTACGGTCGAAGATCCGGTGGAATTCGAAACGAAGGTTATGCAGTTGCCGAAGGAGTCACGAGCAGTGCCCCGTGAGTGTCATCTTCATTGACGGCGAAGAAGTGGAAAGATTCGCTAGCTACTAATGCATCAGCCACCTAATGAACTTCAGTAGCAACATCAGTTACGAGATCAACAGAAGAAGGAAGACTACGTGGGCAAGTTTCAGTTACATAGAAACCGCTGCTGGACAACGAAGTGCCGGTGTTCATGGATCTGAGGGAACTGATCGAACTGACTTACCATCCAACCTCCTGATCTATTGCTAAGGAAAAAATTTAGTCCTAACGCAAATGGCCATGGATAGAAAAACATGCAAGGTTTCCCTACAAAATCATGTTATAGGTGCGACGGTTGAACGTAGGACACGAGTTTTGGATGCACACAGTGTCACCTACAACTCGAAGAGGTGAACGGTTGGCCATGTGGAGGGTAACTGGTCGATATCCTGAATTACCTAATGGGTCCCTTTCGGTTACAGATGTCCAGTCAGTGGTCCGGCAGCACAATGAGATGACCCAATAACAAAACTGTTCGGTCAGTGACGGAAGCAATGAACACAGCACCTAAGCGAATGGCGGAACGCCTACTTGCGTCTGTGGTGCAACCGCTGACGAATACATGTTTGATCGAAGGATGGACGATTAAATAATAATCACGCCCAGTTCTCCGTGTCATTAAGTAAATTAAGGAATGACGCTGTAAACAACATTATATTCTTAGCTTATGATGTTTCAAAGCCGTACACATGACGTCGTTCATAGCTAAGTCTTTCTTCTTGGGACAGCGAAAGAAAAGAAACAGAAATGGTTTTATCTGTTTAGATTTTAGACATCGGCGTCTCATATACTTTCAGAAGGATTGCTGTTTGGAGTACTCTTTTTATATGGATCATTTATGACGTGGTGATGATCTCTGTGACAGTATCTTAGCTAGAAGTTCCTTGAAACAACGGAAAACAGCTACCTTGAGGCTGTTTCAGAAAACCGCTAGTTACGTCGAGTTACATCAAACGGTCACTGCCTATGATCCGGTCAAAAGAGAAGGGACTAGATAGCTAAGGTGTTGACCCATGACTCATTAAACGTATAATGGTACATTCGCCAGGTACATATGGTTTTCAAACAGTTCTTGTTAATATTGAACACGTGCTTAGAATTTTTGGTTGTGTTCTTATTTAAGGCATTTTTAACGATTTGTGCGCTCAGGAACTTGCATTGTCGCCTTCGAACAGCCACTTTGCACCACGACGACGATTCCCAGGCGACATTGATCAATTGCCTGCTTCGTTGCTACCTCGATCAGCAGCTTTATGAGTTTGCTCAAAAGCTGATCACCAAAGTTACATTTCCTGACAATGCGACGAACAACGAATGGGCGAGATATCATTATTATCTGGGTAAGCTCCAAATTCAGTTTTAAACTTGATCACCTGAACCATAAGCTTCATGAGATCACAGAAACAGTTGACTGATCCGCCACTATCAGCAACTTTTAAAATGTTTGAACCACCTTATTGTGCAGATCAGTTGTACAAATGGCTGTTCTAAAGAATGAGCAAGAACGCGGTTGCACTGCATTCGCCAATGTTAGATTCGATTCATAGTTTTGGTTAAATGGCAGGAATTACTGTTTTCTTCTGAGCACACGTGACCTCAGCAGAGGTAGAGAATAAGAGATGTAGGTTAGCCCTATTAGATAAACCGGTTGAACATAAGCCATTTTCCCCCAATAACTTCTTCCTGTCCGACCCAAAACTCGGCAGATTTCGATATCGGCCAGGAGGCCATCATGCAACATGGAGAAACAGAGTAGAAGCAATCTGCTTTTAGACATGATTATTTCCTTGTGCCATCCAGTAGCTGGTGCCTTATAACAGAAGTGTTGAAAAGCTGCGGATGCAGCGGACATTGCAAACCAGAGACGTTCTGCTTATGCGAACGACTAAATGAGATGAAAATAATGGACACTCACAGAAACGCATTTCGCATATTACAAGTAATTGATGTGGAAAACTTTATTGTTCTCATTTTATTTAGTTTATTTATGAAAACTATAATCATACTGTAAATATATACTTTTTCATTTGTTTTTATGGGATAAGTTCATATATTAACTTTATCGCAATGGCAACCGACGTTGTGAGTCATGTTTGACAATCATCATCTTATGCCACTAATGCACCGTTGCACTAACCAGACAATTATCTTCGACGCATCGCGTTCACAAACACAGCTGTAAATGGTAAATCAGTGTTACGCCTAATTTTGCTAGGTGCACCTGTTTCTTAGATGACCGATGTAAAAAGCAAATAACTGTCGTCCATGGTTTGAGTGGAGATCAGCTAAGAAAGATGGCGGAGGTATCACGTTTCAGTCTGACTACGTGAAGAATACCAGTACCGTCGCCAAACTTAATAATGTTCCAAACTTGGCATCGAGGTGTTAGCGCGTGCTTCGTTTGATGTCAGTTTCACTTTTCTTAAAAGTTTATTTGACATGACTCAGAATGCTGGATGCTGTTCTAGTAAAGTTTGTATTCGAAGTAATCCCATCTAACTTCTGAACAAGAATGATCTGTTCCTCTAAATGAAGGGAAAACTTCTGTTATCCTCTAAGCAGCATGATTAATTAATCATCAGTATATTCATTTATGGCCATATAGAAGTTATTATGGAATATATTATTAGCGTTTAAGCTTGTCAGATCTCTATCAGGTTTTTCTGTCTTTCTCAAAACATTGCAGAAGCTTTTAGGTGTTGCTGCTTTGATATTGTTTTGATGCTGTTTGATATTATTGCTGTACATCCTTATTTAGTCTCTTTCTTGTAATATGTCATACGCAATCTGTAGTTTAGTCAAACCTCATTGATTGACTTCGTTTTATGTTTTTTAGGTAGAGTAAAAGCTATGCAGTTGGAGTACATCGACGCCCAAAAAAACCTGCAGCAGGCATTAAGGAAGGCACCGCAGCACGCGGCGCTCAGCTTTCGTCAAAACGTACGGATCATAGTATGAAATTTCTGGTTATGGTACTCTACTTTCAGGTGCAAAAGTTCCTCGTCACTGTTGATCTGTTACTTGGGGAGATTCCAGAGCGGTCGCTTTTCAGACAAGCAATCTACCGAAAGTCATTGCAGCCATACTGTCAGCTTACCCAAGGTAAATTATGAATCAGTTTCTGCAAATTAATACGATGATTTCTATGAATCCTGACTATGCGTTTCCATCGTGGAAAAAGTGAGAAACAGGAAAGTTCCTAACACATTTTGGGGGGCATCGATCTCCCTTACCTTCTCTGATTAATACCATTTGTGAAACAGTTTTTTTTTCCATGTAGCTTACTGTGTAGTGTTGATTTCTCACAGAGTGGTAGTAGTTTATCTACCTCAGAAGGTGAAAGGCGATAGACAAAACAAGATCTTGAACTCACCATCTTTCAACTGTGAGTCTGGCTCTACCGATTGAGCAATCCATATGCGGAGAATAGACAGCTGCCGAACTTGGAGATCGCATGTCCCAATGAAAATTGGGGGAGGTTACTTTTTAGCCCTGAAAACAATTCTTTCTCCACAATCCATCCTCAACATCATCGTTTAGAACGAGCAATGCCTAGAAAAGGTAATAGCATAGCAGCGAGCAGTACAATTGTTTGAAAGTCTGTCATAAACCCCGAACCGGTCAACCGAGGCCCTCACAGATTCCTCTTCCTTTAAGGTCCCTGTTTAGGAAAAGGATAAACCTGAAGTTAAGGATGGGTAGCGTGAAGAAGCTACTAACATCCGTAATGTTCATTGTGCATCACTTGAATAACAGGTGGACTGTAGCTAATGGTTGAAATTCTACTCGTCATTACTGAATAAACATAAATCTGATCTGCATTTTCACATTGCAGTGACTCATCCTATAGGTTGCAGAAGTTAGCATGTTATTCTCAAGCATAGTAGTTTATGATTGCTAAAACCGTTCACAAGTTTCGAAGTAGAAGCTTTATGGAACTTTATTTTAATACAAAACGGCCCAGTTGTTTGTTTATGCCATAAAAGGAGTAAAACTTACTACAGACTTGCTTTCTAGCCGTTCGCATCGGAAGCGTGGAGAAGTTCAATGAAGTACTGGAAAACAACGCCGCCAGGTTCCGAAAGGAAGGTACCTCAACGTTGATCCTGCGTTTGCGACAAAACGTTTTGAAAAATGCTACTCGAAAAATTGCCCTAGCATACAGTCGGATTTCTCTCGCTGACGTACAGAACAAGCTGCAAGTATCGAGCGTTGACGATGCCGAATACGTCATATCCAAGGTATGTGTAATTTGACATTTGACCTTTGAATCAGTATGAAAATGAAAACGGCGGTTTCATTTCAGGCAATAAAAGACAACGTAATCGAGGCAAGCATTAATCACGAAGAAAGCTATATGCAGTCAAAAGAGATCGCCGATATTTACTCGACGGTTGAGCCTCAGCTTCAATACCACAATCGTATCTTGTTCTGTCTGGAAATCTACAATCAGGCTGTGAAAGCCATGCGATTTCCGCCCAAATCGTACGCGAAAGACATCGAATCCGCTGAGGTACGCAATGCATTGCAATGTCCGTTCCCTGCTTTAAGACTGAAGACATTATGCACAATTTCGTGCCATTTCTGATGCCATCTGCATGGTTCTGTTAGTCCTCTTGCGTTTTATTGGCTTTTTAGTGCCAGCACTCCAGCGTTTGCCTGACTGACCTTCGTTTCTGTCTCCCACGGGAAGTATTCCATTCTGGTTACTGCTGTAGCGGAAGTACGCAATTGACTGGTTTTCAGCCCTCCTTCGTCATGGTGAATATTGCAAAAGAAACAGTGACAAAGTAGTTCGCAGGCAGATTTTACATAGAAAGAGGAGTATTGAAAAATGTGTTGAAAAGGCCTCACGTAAACCGGTTCTGTTGAGGTTTTCAATGAGTTAGGTATGAAATCGGTCAGAATCCCCTGAAGCATTACTGGATTTCGTATAGCTGTACGTCGATGAGCCTTAGTTCCGGTGTATAGCTTGACCGTACTATTCTGTAGATGATAGAATACAGTCAAAGTACATGTACTAGATTGCAGAAGCGGTAACAAGGCCAACATAATGAAGTGATACCATGATCAACATGGCGACACCCTACCATGCTGTTGGGTGATACGCGAGGTGTAAGAGCAGCAAAGGCCACGATTGCAGTTAATGGAACCATATATTCCGGAATTTTTGCCTTAGAATGACTGCTTTAGTCAGCGCTTCGTACCCGCATACAGTTTTTTTGCGTCTTTGCGAATGAACTTCATATGGTAGATGTTTCACTAATTTGAGGAGGGTTTATCTTTTTGCAGCGCTTTCAATTTCACATTGGCGTAAGGATGATCGTTCTACTCGTTTTCAAGTTGCAAAATAAAATCGTCTACATAATATCCAGGAGCTGTCGCTGGCATTATTTGAACCGACAACGTTTTTCTGATTTTCCCCTTAGAAGCAGCATTTGCAATAAATGAGGTATGATGTTCAAAGTTATTATTGTCAGTAAAAATCAACAGAGGTCCCATCACAAAAACAGCCAAATTGATTCTACGCAGCACTACCTAGCTAGTGATCAACGGATTATCACCTGACTTTAGTGATATAAAAGGCACAAACACATGACCAACATGGAAGTTCTACAGGAAATAGAGAATGTAAGAGAAGTTCTGTCTGTATCTGAATATGGACGGGCACCCTTTGATTATGGTTTTCGGCATTTATGAAGTTGTAAATAATTACTATCATACTCATAAGGTACATGATAGCTATTATAAATAAAACTCTGATGGTATTTCCTACTATTATTGTAAATGTATAAACGTTATCATTCAGTTGTTTATTGCCGTTATTTATAAATTTCTTTGTTCACGAATGACGATAAAATGGCCTGCTTGCCTAGCAATGATAGCGCACATGTACCATTTATCCATTACAAAATCTGCACAAAATATAAGATGTCTCGTTTGTTTATTGCGGAAGACGTTTCAGCTTGAATTCTTCTTTATGCAAATTGCTTTTATTAATTAACTCAAATATAAATGTTGATTTAGGAGAAGAGAGAAAGAGAACAGCAAGAATTGGAATTCGCAAAAGAAATGGCTGAAGACGAAGACGACTTTCCATGATGACCAAAATCTTGACTACGATCGTCAAGATTTTCGTTTATTCGTTTGCAGCGATGCACGGCTTTTATAATTTCGAAGAATGAAATAATATTTGATGTATTTTTTTCAATATCACAGCAATAAAATATTTTGCTGGCTGTCCATCATTTTTTTGACAATTTTTATGAAAGTAAATTATTTGCAGTTTTTCTTAATGTGATATTTGAGTTACTACTTATTTTTGTTTACTGAAAGAAAGTTGCTCTTTTTGTAATTGCACATAATCCGTTATCCGACTTGCTATCATTATGGGTGCAAAAGTCGACACCCGTCCAGTGTTCTCTGCTATCTACTTCTACGGCTAGCCAAATAATTTGATCATCGGATCATTCCAGGGTGTTTATGCACTACCGAGTCGATGGTGGTGGTCCGGTGGTATTTGTAATTCTTGGCGTCCACCGGTGGCCCCATCTCCTCTTGGTATCGCTAATGCAGACATTTGTCGAATTTTTGTGCTTAGAACATGATCCCAGCTTGCACATAGTTTGCTCCTTCGCCTTCAAACTTATCCTTGGTTGAAGTAGCAGATCCACATTCAGCACGACGGATCATGGCGGGTTAGACGGATAAATCTAACAGCTCTGCTTGCATGGGCAGCTGGTTCGAGTAATGATGTTCAGATACGGATTATAATGCGGAGAAAGCTTACCCGTTCCGTCTTCCTTCTGAAAGAACTACGTGTACTTAAAAAATTTTTTTGTAACTGCACGTAGTTCTTCGCAATAGGTACGTGGAACCTTGAATGAAGAGGCTTTATGAAGTGAATAAGTGTTCCGGTGAAGGTTCGAGTGCACCCACTGTTTCTCGATGGTCAGGTTGGTGCTCACCCATAAGCTTTGCGAAAAATGTTTCATAAATGTCTACACTTTAAGCTGGATCGGCCCCTTTGTTTTTCGGAACAGTAGACAATAAAATGCAAGCTGTGTCCCGAGCTTCACCTCGTCCAGCCTTCCTTTTCTATTTTGGGCATTTTACGGGTATAGAATGGTGTTAAATATAACGCCTCATTGTAGAATGGATTGTGGGCTACGAAAAGTAAATATATTTTGTTGCTGAAATATTGTTTACCATTCTGCTACAGTCAGGTGCTACAAGAACTTTAATGGTGTTCTTTGGTCTTATAAC